ATGTATCCATCATTATAATATCATACAAGATCCAAAAATCCTTTGTGCTTTGCCTATTCGTCTCCCTACCCACTCCTAGCAATCATAATTTTCCCTTTTCCAGAATGTCATATAGTTGGAATCATATGATATATAGCCTTTTCAGAATGACTTCTTTCACTTAGAAATGTGTTGAAGCTTCCGTCATGTCTTTTCATGGCTTTGTAATGATGAATATTTCATTGTCTGGATGTAGGACAGTTTGTTCAGTTGTCTACTGAAGGACATCTTGGTTGCTTATAAGTTTGGGCAATTATGAATAAAACTGCTAAATATAAGGCCCTTCCTGGTGGTGCAGCAGGTTAAAGCACTGCACTAAGAAGCTAAAGTCACTTCTGCATGAGTTTGAGCCCCACCTGCCCTGGGGGGTGATCCATTTGGTATGGCAGAACTCTCCTGGCCTGTCCGCTGCTCCCCTGAAATACAGATGTATTTCAGTACATCTGTTCTGTTCCCCACTCTGTCTCTAGTGAAGCCTCTCACCACTCTTGCACCTCCTCTGGCCTGTGCCCCAGTTCTGTATGCACAAATAAATCTTAAAAAAAAAAAACTGCTAAATATAAATAGTCAGGTGTATGTTTTGTATGGACATAATTTTTCAGTTCATTTAAGTAAATACCAAAAATTGCAAATACTGGATAACATGTTAAGAGTATATTTAATTTATAAGAAATTTAAAAAATATCTCCTAGAGTGGCTGTAGCATGTTGTACTTCAAACAAAAATGTATGAGTGCTGACTGCATTTGACTGTAAGATTTCCAGATTTTAGTCATTCTAATAGGTATAGAGTGGTATCTCTTTTCTGGCATTTACCAGATGTCATTTAATAAAGTTGTTCCTTTTCATGTGCTTACTTACCATACATATATCTTCTTTGGTGAGATGTCTCTTAGAATCTTTGTTCCTTTGAATTGAATAGTTTTGCCCAGTCTGTGATGGGTCTTTCAGTCTCCTGACATTGTCTTTTGCACAATAGAAATCTTAAATTTTAATGAAACCCATTTGCTCATTTATTTCTTTCATGAATTATATATTTAAAAAGATATCACCATATCCAAGATGATTTAGATTTTTTTCTATGTTATCTCTTATGAGTTTTATGGTGCTTTATTTTGTCAACCATTTTTTTTTTTTGTAACTAATGCTGTCATGTTTATTTTCCCATTAAATTACTGATTGTCCCAGTGCTTCACACTAACTACAGGCTTTCTTTCCACCTTCTCCCCTACTCTTCTGCAGTGAGTGAAATGTGACTTACTTATTGGGATTGCAAATTTGGCTTCCACTCTATTCAAAGATACCTAATACAGTGAAATAATAAGTGTACATTCACGGAGTGCTATGATTAGTATGCTATTTGTAAGCTCTGACAGGGTGGACAACATGTAGTGTGAAGTAATTTAACCAGTTTCTTACAATTATGAGATCATTTGCTCAAAGAAGAATAAAGTTTTGATTATATGTGTACAATGCAGCAGTCTTCAAATTCAGTATGGATAAAAATCTCTGGGAACATGTTTAAGTGTAAATTTCTGGGTTGCATATGTATCTATGCTGATTCATTTGGACTAAGAATCTGTATTTTTAGAATTCAGATGGCCTAAGAATCTGTATTTTTATTTGAAAAATTTTTTTAAAGTTATTTATTTGTGCATACGAGAACTGGAACACAGGCTGGAAGTGCTGGAGGGTGAGAGGATTCAACAGAGACAGAATGGGGAGCAGAACAGGTACATTGACTAAGATACACTGCTGAGGGGAACAGAGGGCGAGACAGGAGAGGTCTGCTGTGCCATATGTGGGTCACCGCCCTGACCTAGGGATCAAACACATGTTGCAGTGGCTACGGATTGCTTCATAGTGTTGTGCTTTAACCCAGGAAGGGCCCAGAATCTGTATATTTTAAATATTCAAATCTTTATACTATCATTCAAGAAGCATTGTTTCAATCTTTCTGAAATAGCAAGTAAGAGGACCAAATAATTTTGAATAATGGAGGGGGTTGCCTTAGTCTGAACTAAAGTTTCTTTACTGGGGTCTATAAATGTTACAAAGCATTAAAAAGGAGGATGGGTACCTGGGAGGTTTTGTAACAGGGACTCTCCGGTGACAGAGCCTGAGATTGTGGAGAGAGGCTTGGAAGGTTAATAGAGACACTTATTTCACTATTTTTCCTAGGTTTTGCTTTCTTCATGTAGAAAGTTTAAGCCATATATATATATATGGTAAAGTATGGATTATAGAGCATTTTTATCTTTGAGGAACCAACATCCATGAGTCATCCAATAAGTTACTTTTTAATATTTTAGTATCTTTTGGATGGTGAATGATTTAAACCTGGGATGATTTTTTTATATTTCGAACATTTTTGTACAATTTCAAATGGTGTTTCATTTTTGATTATGTGACAACAAAAACTACCATTGAAAAGATGGTATTCTATGCAATCTAAAGAAAACAGATTTTAACTTTACATCTGTGAAAAAATAGTATTTTCATATATTACCATTTGTAAATGATTTCTACTAAATCTGTAATTCAAATTGTTAATATTTTACCATATAAAAGTTTTTAAGGCCCTCCCAGGTGGCGCAGCGGGTTAAAGCACTGCACTGAGAAACTAAAGCCACTTCCGCATGAGTTCGAACCCCGCCTGCCCTGGAGGTGACCACATGGCGAGGCAGACCTCTCCTGACCCGCCCGCTGCTCCCCTCAGCAGTGTACTTCGTCGATCTGCCTGTTCTGCTTCCCCTCTGTCTCTGGTGAATCCTCTCACCCTCCGCATCTCTGGCCTGTACCCCAGTTCTGTACGAATAAATAAATAAATCTTAAAAAAAAAAAAAAAAGTTTTTAAAAGATTTTTATGAAGATTTTAATATGTTTCAGTATGGCAAATGTTAACCAGAAGTAGATGGGTAAATCCAGACCATTTAAAATCTCCAAACTTTTAAAAACAATTGAGCTACACTAGATGGCCAACGTTGTGATTTGATTGTTTGTATGTATTGAGAAGTGATCACCACAATAATCTAGGTAACATTCATCACCATGAATAGTTACATCTTTTCCCCTTGAGATGAGGAATTTTTAAAATCTACTCTCTTAGCAACTTTTAAACATGCTCTACAATATTTTAAATTATAGTCACCAACTTTTTAATGCATCCCCATAACTTATTTTATAATGGGGAGTTTGTACTTTTGACCCCTTCATCCATTACACCCCAACTCTTTTGCCTCTGTTCTTTGTATCTATGAGTTTGCTGTCTTTAGATTCCACTTGTAAGTGATATTGTGTAGTTATTTGCTTTTGTTTGACTTATGTCACTTAACATAGTAGCCTCAAGTTCCATCCATGTTGTCATAGCAAGATCTTGTTTTTTTTGGTGGCTGATTAATATCCCCCCCCCCTTTTTTTAACCCATTCTTCCACATATAGTCACTCAGGTTCTTCTCATAGCATGGCTTTTGTAAATTAAGTTGCAGTGAACATGGAAACACATAAATTGTTTTGAATTGGTGTTTCTGTTTTCTTTAGCTGTGTATCCAAAAGTGGAATTGCTAGATTATATGAAAGTTTTATTTTTATTGTTTTTAGAAACCTCCCTCTGTGTTCCAGAATGGCAGCACCAATTTATATTCCCACCCACCAACAGTGCACATTCTTGCCAACACTTATTTTCTTGTGTCTCTCACCAGCTCATTATTTCTAGACTTTTCAATCATATTCATTCTAGAAAATGTAAGACAATATCTCATTGTGGTTTTTATTTGCATTTCCATGATGAATACCTTTTACCTATTGGTTAGTTAGTTATCTGTATGTCTTCTTTGCAAAAATATCTATTCAAACCTTCTATTGTATAGTTTATTTTTGCTATTGAGTTGTATGAGTCCCCCCCCAGTTGTATTTTTATGTATTTAAGATCTTACCCCATATAAGACATATGACTTAGAAGTATTTTTTCCCCATTTCAGTGGATCACTTTTTAATTTTGTTGACTCCCTTTTGGGACAGAGAATTTTTAGTTTCTTATAATTCCATTTTTTAAAAGATTTATTTATTTATGCATACAGAACTGGGATATAGGCCAGAGGTGGAGGAGCAGTGAGAGTATTCACCAGAGAGAACAGGGGAGCAGAACAGGCAGATTGTGGTCTGCCTTGCCATGTGGGAACACCTCCAGGGCAGGTGGGGATTGAACTCATTTAGAAGTGGCTTTAGCTTCTTAGTGCTGTGCTTTAACCTGCTGCGCCACCAGGTAGGGTTCTCATTTGTTTTTTTATGCTGGCTGTCCTAGTTTTTGGAATAAGGTCTAAAGTTCATCAGCAAGATAAATGTCAAGAGCTTACCACCTACATTTTCTTTTAGGAAAAAAAATCACCAATCTTTTAATTTTAGCTTCTTGTTTCAACTTTCTCTCTCACTCAGCCTAATTCAGAGCTGTTAGCAAGCAACTATTGGTCGCCTTGAATTTTTTCTTTTCACCATTTGGTGGCCAGTCTCTGGTGAAATTCCTAATTAGATGCAAACCAGGCAAACAAATGGACCAGTGGGGTGGAAAAGTCAGTGGGCATGGAGAGTCTATTGTTGCTCATCCAATCAACTAAATATGTTTTAATTGTAACAGCAATGCCATAAATAGGCCTGAAACAGCCTATTAGTCTGCCTCTTTTCATCCCTGCCTGTTTCAGTTCCTCTGCTTGTACTATCCATATAATTCTGTGACTTTGATTTAGTTCATTTTTTGGGAGAGACTTCCTTCTCTGTACTTTGGTTATCTGTACCTTGGGAAGATTACTTATTCTAAATAGTTTAACAGAGTTTGAGCTTTGAAAGGGCAATGCTACTCTTATTGTAATTTGTATCTTGTTTTTGTAACTCATTCAGTGCAAGACCTGTGTTCTCTACGGTATCACTTGGAATTAAACTTCTCTGCCAATTTGTGCTCTCTTGTAGGTGATTCGCAAAGGGTGGTTAACCATCAGCAATATTGGCATCATGAAAGGAGGATCTAAGGGATACTGGTTTGTCCTTACTGCCGAAAGCTTGTCCTGGTACAAAGATGATGAGGTAAGTCACACAGTGACAAAGCTTTCTCATTAAAGTATTTCTAATTCAGCTTCGAGACACCAGTGGGTCTGTTTCAGTAAGACTTGATTTGGAATGTTGGCTTGAAGAAGCTTTGTCATTTTCTTCATAAAATTTTAAATTTACAATTCTCCTTTCAAGATTTATTGATTTCTTTGGTGCAGTCTTGTGTTTGTTTACCTGAAAAATAAGAATTATGGGTCAGTCATTGGAAACTTCCCTTTTTGTGATAATGGAGACACTAATAGAATGAAAGCAACTTTCATGATGTATTGAAAAGATCCAAGGGTACAGATCATCTCAAAAGAGAAATTAATGCATTGATACACTGTTAATAAAGCATTTTGGAATTGTTGCTGTCACATTGCCTCAAATAATGGTATTTTGAAAATGTCTAAATTTCTAATCTTCAAATGAGTCCCAGATAATTGTTTAAACAAACTTTGTTCTTTGAGAATTTGATGGCTATAAAAAAGCATGACTTATGAAAACTGTGATGATCTGGTTCATGTTAGATGTTAATAATTTTGGTCTTGTGACTTACTATTCACTTAAATATGATAGTTATAAAAGAAAAAAGTCTTATCAGTCTTATAGCACCATTAAAGTGCTACAAAGAGATTCTTACTAAATTTGGGAGGACATGAATGGAATGTAAATTATATTTTGTGAATTTTAATGTTCTTTTTTGACCTGAGAACTTTTAGGTGCTTATAAATGTAGTGCACAAACATCATAATACTTTGTGATAGCAAAACTATTTACAAGTGAGATTGTCTCAATTTTATTTGGCTATAAAGGGCATGAGTTTAGAGTTAAAAAGTTCTCCTCCCTTGGCTTGATATCCTTGGATAGCAAGACATATGCCTTTGTCAGCTGCTGTGGAGAAGTTTCAAGTTTTACATAGTTTTCTGTTTCCTAAGAGCTTTGTGTACAATGGTATGTTGAATAAATATTGGAGAATTAGTTAATTGCCTTAAGTTTCCATAGCAAGGGAAATCGAATCCCATAGCAATGTCCAAGGAAATTTTCTACTAAAAAGATTTTATTAAAAATTTTTATGTGAGTGATTTTACTGACTTGAGTCAAACATTTCATTGCTCATTATGAGAGTCTGAGGATTAGCAGTGGTTTCTGTCCTGTGTTGGCTGCTTATATACACTCATGTTTTGGTAGGAAATGGTGGGACTTAAATACCATAGTTTCAGAAGCTTGTGATGCCTCACTAGATATAAAAAGTCTGTATATGGATTATCTTCTTCTGCATTCAGTTACCCTAAAATAATCTTCTCTTTTATATATTTACTTCCAGGGATTTACATAATCAATTATGTACATTTCAATATTTCTAGGGAAAGCCCACAATTTATCAGATGAATCATAATAGTAATACCTAGTGATTTGTGTACACACACACACACTTTTTTGATCTACATTACAACGCTAAGGATGGGTACTATTATTGTCCACATTTTTTCCAATGAGTAATGTAAAACCCCCAATTTTTTGAAGTCATTTGCAGGACTCAGTTTCCCTTATTGCAGAACACATGGAGTTGGCAATAATTTTGGTTATGACTTACTATTCACTTAAATATGATAGTTATAAAAGCCGAAAAAAGTCTTATCAGTCTTCAGCACCATTAAGGTGCTACAAAGCACTTAAGAAGCTAGTTACATATAGCTTTTTAAGGTCATGTAGCAAATTGGTGGCAAAGCAGAAATTGGAGCTCAGGCTGTCTGGCCGGGAATTATGCCCTCGTCCACAAATACAGCATGAATCCCAGAATGCTGGAGTTGTGAGACACCCTCATTACACAGGGTGAACTCTAGGCATGTTGGCATTTACCTTTTCCTAAGTGTTCATATAGGAGGCCTGAAGACCTGGGTAATGACTGGTCTTAGAATATGGGCTTTCGGCTTTTCTTGCCTGGTTGTTTGTGGAGGGAAACACTGCCTTTGAAAGGTACCATACTCCCCAGAGGGAAGCTCCCTGAGTTTGGTGAGGTTCTTAGTCACTAGTCATCCCTCCTTTGTATAAACTCAGGGTAACATTTTACAAAAAACAATCGCAGCTAAAGCTCCCACATTAGCATTTGATTACATGAAGAAAAATGCATGTGTGTGTAGTTATATTAACTGAGTGCCAGGTAACATAGAGGGTGGTGTGCATAGAGGTGGTGGAGCATGGAGAGGATGGCAATGGCCCTCAAAATAAATGGGGTGATGTTAATGAAAAAAGTTTAGGAAAGTTGTTTGTTCAATTTAGATCATTTCAAGAAAAAGAAAATGACAATTTTTCTTTTCTGTGAAATCAACAAAGACATAATAATATGATAATGACATAATATCAGATATTGATGTTGAATATCAGTGGTATAGAAAACATAAAATATGGTCAGAGAGATAGAAAGCGATGGAATAATTTTTAGACAGAGTATTTAGGAGGAAGTAACACTGACACACATAGACTGAAACAGTGAGCTGTACAAATTTGTTGAGGAACATTCAGGTTGAGAGAACAATAAGGATAAAAACCCTAAATGGGAGCCAGCAGGAAGCTGGTGTTTGGAATGTAGGATAAGTGGGAGAAAGAAATGCATAGAAAGAAATAAAATCAGAGATAGTGGGTGAGGCCTTGTCAGTCCCTCTTCAATGATTTAAATTTTATCCCAAGGATAGCTGAAAATCAGTGGGGTGTTGTAACAAGAGGTACCATACGGGGGGTTATATTTTGAGAAAATCTGCTGGCTTGGGTATGGTGTGGAGGACTAATGTGTGGAAAGGGTGAGGTGGCAAGAAAAGAAGACAGATCAACTAGGAGAGCAGCAGTCATCCAGGGAGGAGGATAATGGGAGGGGCCCCCCCACCCCTGCATCTGGGGTAGCAAGTTGATGGGCCACAGACAGCTACTGCTAGCTTCTGTTGCTCATTATACACTGTTCAGCAAGAGAGGAACTTCAAAATTATTAGTAATGACTGATGAATGGACCCTCTCTTAACATTGTAAATGGGACAGAGTTCTTTCCACATTCATTGCTATCTCCCCACCCCTATCCTCTTCCGTGCTCTATACACCTCTTGTTGAACATCCTACTGTTTCTGAGAATGTTATTAGGATGAAAGGGAGGGCACTGTACCTCTTCTTTTTCTTGGCTAGTACTCAGCATTTATACCTGTCTGCTGAAACTAAGGCTGGAAAGGGAAGATATTTTGGAAATTCTGTTACATGACAATTTATCTTTCTTAGTCAAGCAAATGTGATACAGGAAATATTAAGTTCATTATACCTTGATTCATTTATCCAATGTCAATTTAGACTCAAACTCATAAAGGATTGTCATTTTATTTTCATATTCTACCATCTAGCTTTCTTATGTAATTAGTCCAGTATACTTTAATTATACTCTAATTGGCTATTGAATAAATAGTTTAGTATGAAAGTAACTGTGTGTGTGTGTGTGTGTGTGTGTGTATATATATATTTATATGGTTTTATTTAATTTGTAGTAGGTTTGTAGTAAATATGAATAGCTTATGAAATGTACTTGTGATTAAAAAACAATAACTCAGGTTGTGTTCCAGGATGAGATTTATTGACAAAAACCTTACAGATCATATGGTTAGTGTAATTAATGGAAAGAGTGAGAAGCTGAAGGATATGGATTTACTATGACTAATGGCCAATCAGGAGATAGTCTTTTTAAAGCTTTAGTAATTTCACTTGTTATTTTGGGATCATCTTGAATGGAATTGTAAGACTTTAAAAATACATATATTAATAGGTGCTCTTATTTGCAATTACACACCTATATATTTATTTCTGCCATTGTCTTTCCACTGTGATGTCATTTTTTTTTAATTTTCAGCAGAGAATAAGTTTCAAGCAACAAGAGAGAACTTAAATCTTACCCCTTTAGTGACAGTTGACATGTTGCTTCCCCTTTAGCCTGTGAGTTCTCCTACAACTCAACCAAGGATTGATAGGATGGTATCAAGCTGTATGATTTTCTACCAAGGTGGCAGAGACAATAGTATGATAACACCATTTCATAATTAAGCTATAATTGGCACAGCTGTATGAGTGAGTCCCCCAGAATCATTCTGCTTTTCCCATACTGACTGGATTTATCTATTTCACCATTAAGTTTTAGATGGATTATTGAATGCCCACAATCATGTGTGGACTGCACTTTTTGGACCATTATTCAACATTATATAAAGTTATTTGTGTTACTAATAGATGAGTTTAATGAACATTTTTGCACTTGTCTCAAGCAGTGTTATTTGCTATCAGATAACATAAAGTTATGTGTTATCTTAAAGAGTTTTTAAATCACAAGTTGATTAGGATAGACATAATTAACCTATGTACTTGATGACATGCTGTCCTTTAATATACTCCAATTACTCAAAGATTGGGTTTTGCTACATAATAATAAATGAACCATCTTATAAACTTTTTATAATCACCAATGGGATTTCCCCAAACCTGACCAGCCTTCCAGATCATGCTGGTCAGGTGTGGTACACCACACTTTGGAATTTTCTATATACACAACTCTAAGTACTTTTAGAGGGGTTGCATGAACATATTTCTGGGTCTTCCGCTCCAAGATATTCTGCCATTGTATACACCCCAGGTCAAAGCATAGCTGTTTATGGGGATGAGATTGGACACTGGTTTGTGTGTTTTTATCCTTTTGGATCTTAAATGGATGCTACTCAGCTTCATTGATTTTTTACTTAATTTTGTATCATCTCCTGTAGTTCTATCCATGTTGTCACAAGTGGCAAGTTTTCATCTTTTTATAGTTGAGTAGTATTACATCATGTATGTATACCACTCATCATGTATATATAAACCACATCTTAATAGTACCTTTGAACACTTAGATTGTTTTTATATCTTAGCTATTGTATTTAGTGCTGCAGTGAGCATAGTGATGTATATATTCCTTCAAACTAGTTTTTTTTTTGTAT